TGTCCGTCTGTCTGTCCTCTCTCTCTCTCTCTCACACACACACACACACACACACACACACACACACACACACACACACAGAGTCCGTCTGTCTCTCTCTCCCTGTGTATGTCTGTCTGTCTCAGCCGATCGTTGTCCGTCTTTCGGTTGGTCTTCGGCTCTCTTTCTGTGTGTCTGTCTGTCTGTCTGTTGCCCCTTATCCCTCTGTGTCGCCCCTGTCACTCTCGTCCTCCCCTCCCCCTAATCCATTCGTTGTCCCAACTTCCTTCCGTTCTGTAGTCTCTTCCTCTTGCCGGGCCTTCAGGCATGGTTGCCCGTCGCCCTATCCTTTCCTTAGTCTGTAGCCTTCTCGTCTGCCTAATCCCTGCATTCTCACATTCATCTTCTGGGTCTTCTTCTCACCTTGTCCGCACTGCTCTTTTCTCGATTATCTCAGGGGCCTTCAGCCGGTAGTTGATGATCGAGTGGGAGAGGAGTGGGCGTACTTGGCTGGACCGGACGAGCACCGAGCACAGGCCCTTGTTGATGCCTTCAACGACCCCACGACAAAGGCAGTCATTTGTGCGGGTGGAGGCTATGGATCGACGCGGATTCTGTTGTTGCTGTCCCAGAGTGGCCTTCACGAGAATGCTTTGCAGAAAAAACGCTTCTTTGGTTTCAGCGACATTACTGCTCTTCACAGGTAGTGCGCGAATGCCACATGACTGGGCTCAAGAAAAAAGGCAAAAAAAGACTGTCATGCTATTTTACTTTACGCCTGCTCCTGCCCCGGGTTTCCCGACCAATTCTGCGGTCCCCCCCCCCGCCCCCCCCTGCCCGCCCCAGTCATTTGATTGCATCTGGATTCGAACTTGGGTCTGCATTTCAACAGTTCATGGGTGTAGCAATTCTGCTTTTTTACTTTACCACCAGTATGTTTCCCCGCTATTCTGCTTCCTGCTGTGCGGTGCGACACGGCACGACTCGCTTCGTGCTTCAGAACCGGTTTGGGGGCCTACGGGACCTGTTGGGCTGTTGGTCCCCGCCAAAACATGAAAAATTATAGGGAAAATAAAATCTCACCGCAATGATACCTTTGTATTCATTTCCCCACCAACGGGGCAAAAGCCCCAAAATGACTTTTGGCATCATTTTTTTCCCACCCTGTAAAACACTTTCCGCCATTTTTGCACAGCGAGCATTACCAGCCGAGCCAGGGTGCAAAAATGACACGAAAAGTCATTTTGGGGCCTGCGGCACTTTTTGCCCCGTTGGGGGGAAAATGAAGACAAAGGTTTCGTCTTAGGGAGGTTCTATAACTTTTCCCAAATTTGTGTTGCTGGGCGGGCGCTCCCAGCCCAAATGGATTTTTTTTTCTGTTGTTGGGCTGTGCAATCAGACTGGCATACTTCGTCACTTCACATGCATACAAACAGATGGTGAATCACTCTGGTGGTCGCATGGCGCCCAACTCAAAGCTCGAAGATATGGAAATCAAGACACAGTTCAGATATGAGCTCGCTTCAACAGGCTATGGTGCCTCAGCACCCACACATCGCAACTCTTGTCTCTGCGGACAACACCACTGTTTGCTTCACACTTCAACTCCGGATCACCCTGGATACCCCACGCACACACACTGTACACACACACATACACACCTAACGCTAAGCTATGGCAGCTATGGCCGCCACTAACTCTAACCTACAAGCAGCTATGGCTGCGCTAACTCCTTCTAGCCCACTTCGACTTCAGGCTCCTCTGCAGATCACCTCGCACAAGTCACCCTGGCAGCGCTTCCGCATGGCTTCCACAGGAATGAATGAATGGCTGTGCGCTGCCTCTTGATTTATACTTTTGTAACTCGTTGGTCTGCGTCTTTCCACCGGGCCCATGGTGCACACAGTCCCCCTTGGTACTTGCTGACTGTGCAAAGTGAGACTGGGACTGGGTACCGCTGACTAAGCGAAGTTGGGCACACCACTTGCCCACTTGCCCCTGGCCCTCTGCGTAAAACGTGAGGGGAAACTTGAAAGGCCACTTCCGGACCTTCCGGAAGGCCGAGGACTTGGCCTTTCAGTACTGTAGCAGCTACGACCTTGACCCTTCAGAGGAGCTACAACTACGAGTTCTAGAACTCACTAAGACTCCTATCCGACAGGTCTACAGATCGAATCCCCTACAACCTACGGACCTAAAACAGCCTACCAACGGTTTGCGAATACACAGGTTATGGGTTCAAATACTCAGGGGTCAGCTCGATACTGTACATGGGTGAGGTAAGCTCTGGGGATCAAACCTCGGGATCTGCATCTGCCTTTGCAAAGGTGAAAACTGTTTCACTCCCGCCGGCCTAAATTCGAGGTCCTCCGAGAATATCTTAGTCCAAGGTAGGACCTTTACCTTTCCTATCTCGCTCGTAGGCCCTAACTATGTCAGGAGCTGTTTCTAGAAGTTCAGTCCTAGTAAACCAGCGGTCGTCTTCCGGTTCCTGATATGCGAATCTAACTTTATATTGCTTTTGAGGACGACCTCTACCTCCTGTTCTGAATACATCTTCATCTACAATGCTGTCAATGTCGTATCTTCCATCCATATCCGGCGGGATCATGGACCTTCTGGAGGGAAACTGTTGACTTGTGACATACGACAATAACTTGGATGCATGGAATACTGGGTAGGTGTGGAGGTGCGCTGGAATCTCTACCGTATAGGACGGCCCATCCTCTCCGCCTTTAACTTCTAGGACTGGCCATGGTCCTCTATACACAGGCAGTAACTTTTGTGAAATGTTCTCCTCAGGAGCAAACTCTTTTGACTTAACCCAGACTAAGTCACCTACTTGAAACTGTGACGGGCGACCATGCTTGTTGGCTTTCTCTATTATCCTATGCTGGGCCTTCCTGAGCTAACTCTTTCTCGTGCTGTAACGCAAACTCCCTAGTACCGGGCGGTAGCCTATGTAACTCGTTGGGAGTGCGACACGTGGACAGGTGCACGCTGTTATTGTAGGCACTGGCTACCTTTGGGAGCATGTCATCCCGGTTAGTCTGATCAGGTCTAATGCACATTCTCAAAACTTGTTGCAGGATCTTGTTCATTTGCTCAGTCTGACCGTTGGTCTCTGGATGACGTCCCGACGACATCAACAACTTAGAGCCATAGACTCTCATCAACTCCTGCCAGTTCTGACTGGTGAAGCGGGTATCTCTATCACTAACTATAGACAATGGAACCCGGTGTTCACTGACCCTATGATCGAAAAACTTTTGGATCACTAACTCGGTCCGTGCCTCTGAAGGCAAAGGAATAAAAACTGCATATTTGCTAAATCTATCAACTATGACCATAACTTGGCTCTTGTCGTGCCTACTCTTGACGCCAGCGTCCATAAAGTTAATGGATACTGAATCTCCGGGCTGATCAAGAATAGGCAGGGGTCTGAGAAGACCTAGAGGGGCACAAGTAGTGGTCTTATTCCTTTGACAGATTTTGCAACTGCGGACATACTCTATGCAGCCATTTTTCATTCCTGGCCAAGTGTACGCGTGTATCAGGTTAGCTAAAGTCTTCTGCCACCCGAAGTGTCCCTCTATATCGTGACATTCCCCCAGGATCAAACTACGGATCTCCTCACTATTGGGAATGCACAGTCGGTCAACTACATTAGTCTTCTCGAATAACAACCCCTCGGTAGTGCGGTAATCTGGCTCGGTCTCTGGGGCCTCCCTTACTTTCTTAAGAAAGTCACTGTAAATAGGGTCCTGCGCTTATGCCTCTCTAATTTTCTGTTGCAGGTCTTTCCCTATATCCAGATAGTGTACTATCGCTCCAAAGTAGTCTGCTCCCCTACTTAGAGCGTCCGCAACCACATTGTACTTCCCTTTTATTGGCTTGAGCTCAAAGTCGTACTGGTGTATCTCTGCGGCCCACCTAGTCAACTTAGGTGTCATCTTGGCCTGAGTCTTCAGCCACCTCAATGTCTCGTGGTCTGAATAGACTTTAAAGTGCCTCCCAAGCAAGTAGTGCTTCCAGTGGTCTAACGCTTGCCTGAGAGCGTAGAGTTCCCTCTCATAGGTAGATGTCGCTACCTTCTCAGAAGGCATTCTGGCGGACATGAACGCTACGGGCGTATACCCATTGCCATCGTCTTGCTGTACTACAGCGCCTATGCCGTACTGTTTCGCGTCAGTAGTGACGACGAAAGGTAGGGATGGATCATCTACCTTAAGGACTGGGTGCTCTATCAGTGGCTGCTTCAATTTCTTCATGGCGGACGTGCAGTCCTTGTCCCACTTCCAAATCGCTTCTTTCTTTAGCAATCTGCGAAGGGGCGCAGCGATGGTGGAGAAGTTTCTCACAAACTTCCTATAGTAGTTAGCTAGGCCTAAGAACGACCGCAACTTTGTCAACGTACGCGGTGTAGGCCAATCTCTAATCGCTGCGATCTTGCAGTCTTCTGGTTTGACGTCATCTCCGTCTAAGACATGGCCTAGGTACAAAACTTGGGTCTTCACCCATTCGCACTTCTTCGCATTGATCTTGAAGTTCGCTTCTCTCAACTTCTCCAAGACCTGCCTGAGATGACCCTGATGCTCTCGGAGGGTCTTGCTAAACACTAGAATGTCATCTAAGTAGACAACTACAAATCTGTCCAACCACAACCTAAACAAATCATTCATGCAACGCTGAAAAGTTGCTGGCGCGTTGGTCAGTCCAAAGGGCATCACTATGAACTTATAATGCCCATATCTAGTCCGGAAAGCTGTCTTATACTGGTCATCAGGATGAACCTCTATCTGATGATATCCGGACTTCAAATCTATCTTGGAAAAATATCTGGCGCCCGACACTCTATCTAGGAGATCATCTAGCTTGGGCAGTGGCTCAGCATTCTTCACTGTGATAGCATTCAGACCCCTATAGTCTATACACATCCTTAGCTCTCCCTCTTTCTTGGGGACGAATAGAACAGGTGCTCCAAATGGAGATGAAGTGGGCCTAATCCAACCCTTTTCTAGGAGCTCATCTAACCGCTTACGCAGTTCCTCCAACTCCCGCGGGGACATCCTATACACCGCTCCCTTAGGAGTTCTACTGCCAGGCATCTATCTCGATGCGGTGCTGGATGGGCCGCGACACTACTCCTATTGGCGGCTTGGCTAAGTCTGTAAACTCCTCCAGCAGATTGGCAATAGCAGGGTCTATAGGCTTCTCCTCCTTAGGCTCGGTCACTGGCCTAACATAGGCTACAAAAACCTGTTCCTCTAGCTGCTCCTTTTTCACTGATCGAGCGAACGCAGGAGCGCTAAGGCAACAATGTGCCAGAGAGTTATCTACTCCTGACACATGATACAGACGGGCAGTCTTGAGCTCGCCTGAAGGACTAGGGAGCATATACTCGTGCTCTCTCAAATGGAGTGTGGCCCCGACTGCCTCTCCTCAGTCCATGCCTAGGACTATATCAAATGGGAGGCTATCTTCTACGAGGAGAGTTAGGGAATGGAGAACTTTCTCCACTTTCCCATCCTTCTCTAGGCGGAAGTACGCCTGGACTCCCTCTACGTAATCCTCTACGCGAATTGTGCGGTTGTCTGCGAGGATACTTACTATGGGGTCTGCTAGCTTTTGGACCTTTAGTACTAGCTTCAACTTCTACAACACTTTCCTATTGATATAGCTGTGGGTGGCCCTTGAATCTACTAGGGCCCCTACTCGACCTCTAAAAATCTCTACATCCACTAAGACTAGCTGTCCCCTATTCTCCTTCCTCATTTTGGCCCAGGCGGGCATCCTCTCCGTCAATTCCTCAGCCACGCCTGTGAGGGAAGTGTCTAGAGAGACTCTAACACAAGCAGTCTCTGGACAACTATCTACACACCGGCCTGCAACCTCTGCCATAGGCACATGTGGTGTGGGAGTCTCCTGCCGGCTAGCGCTACTTTCCCCAAATGGCTTGATGGTAGGGGCAGTTGCTACCCCTACCGGCGACTGCCTTTTGACCCCCGGGCAGCCAATCGGGTCTCCCTGTACTTAGGATAAAATTCAATGATGTGGCCAGGGTCACCGCTGTAAATGCATTGCCCTTGGTCCACACGCTGTTGCCACACGCGCTGGTCCAGACCCAAATCTTCCCAAGGCCTGCCCTGAGGCAACCCAGGGTGCCAACCACCTCTCCTATACGGGGACCTGTTTCCCCTATTGGGAGACCTGTTTTCATAACGGTTTCGCGGGGGACCTTGACCCCTTCCTCCCGCTTGGCGGTTCCCTCCTCTGCCGCGAACCCCCTGATCGTCCTGGGCACGGCCTCCTTAGGCCGCCCCCTTGGCCCTAGCCTCTTCCTCCTCCTTGCGGCCTCCCTCCAGCCGCGACAGCAGCGTAAGTCCTCCCCTGGCTCACGCTACTGTCATCGTCCTCTAGCCCCCACTCCATCTGATCATAGGGGACTTCATCAACCCTACCCTCATCCAAGGTAAGGATCGAACGATCCCTAGTCTTTACCTGCCCTGAGATAGTGTGGCCCTTCCACCTTTTTCCCTTATCTAGGTCCTTATGCCAGAAAGTGGAAACTAACATAGACCTTGCCTCAAATGCCACCACTTCCCTGCTCAACGCGTCATAGGTCATGGTGGGTTGTTGGCTCTTCTCGAAGAAGTGGCCACGCAACGATTGAGCATAGCCCGGTAGAAGAGGTTGACCAACTGGGTCTTGGTGACCCCGTGGTCAGGAACAACCACTAACTCGTCCATCACACCTTTTGTATACAAATAGAATATTATAATTTTATACTAAATTATAATTTTATACTAATAGTATATAATTAGACTAAATTTATATAAATTTATATATCTAATTGTCATTTATAAATTTGATTAACTAATAATCATAATATACTATTCATAAAAGTATATATATAATCTATGTATGTGCCTTAGCACTCTTCCACTGTTGGGAATGGATCGTCTGTAGACGATCAGAGGCCTTGACACTGCGGGCGACGTCTGCAAATCGTTCGCGCAGGAATTTAAGGAAGTTAGTGAGGGGGGTGAATGCATAATAAGCAACAACATCATCATTGCAATTAGCAGCGCGGACCAGTGATCGTGCAAAACTAGCGGCTTCATCCCTGAGCGCGTGAATGGCGATCAACACATGCTCATCTGGGGAGACCTGTTGCAAGTGCACATACGTCTTGACGTTGGCCTCCCAGTTGTCAAAGTTCTCTTCCTTCTTCCCACTGTAGGAATCAGGAAACTTGACCTTGACAGGCTCCCTACAGGGTCGTGTCTCCTCCTTGGGAGCGGCCAGCTTGGCGCCCTCTATGGCGCCCGTACAATAACGCTCATTGTTCTCGAGGCGAATCTTCACCTCTGAGCCTATCGCCGTTACTAACTCACGCGCAAAATCCCTAAACCCCAGTTGCATCGAGCGCACTGCCAGATCTTGTCTCCTACTGAACTCATATTGGTCCTCCTGGGCCCTTGCTAATCGCCCGATGTTCAGTGCCATGACCTCCATCTTCTGCTGGAGGTCTACCTGTGCGGCTGACTGTTCCCTCAGCTTCCTCACTTCAGCTAGTTCCTTCGCCGCTTCGCTCGCTGCATCTACCCTCTTCTTCTTTTCCCTCATCATCCTGAACTTCCACTCCATCCTCTTCTCGTCTTCCATAGCCTAAAGGATCCTCGTTTGCATCCCATTCCTGTGCGGCTGCCTCCTGTTCGTCCCTGGGGATATACATCGAAACTTCCTCTTCTTCTCCCAGAGACAAATTCGCAACCCATTCTGAAATCTTCTTTTCCATTTCATCTCTTTAGTCCCACTGGACTGTCCTCTTCGCCATCTCCTTCTTCTCTCCAGTGGCTGGTCGTCCACATCATCTTCCTCTTCTACCTCCTTCAATTTTTCCTCCACCTCTTTCTTCAGCCTCTCCTTCTCTCTGGCCATCTCCTCCTCTATCTTCTCTAACTTGGCCGCATGTTCTTCCATCAGGGCCTTCTTTTTGGCCTCTTTCTTCTCCGTCCTCTCTTTCAGGATAGCGACAACTTTCTCCTCCGCTTCTTTCGTGTAGGGGTTAGTTGAGACTCCACCCCGGGTGTCTACTCTACACGAAAACGTGTTCCAAAACCCCAGAGGAAAGAGGAGACGCCAGAGGGCCCCCCAGAGGGAGAACCCCACAAGGAGACTGTACATCGGGTAATCGTCCATGATGTCAGGTGCACGACAGGGACTGTCCCACTCCTCACCACCTAGACCTACCCGGACACTGACTGACTCTCTAAGGACCACAGGGTCTTTACGGGACCCTGTTAGCGATGGTCTCTAGCCTAAACTCTAGATACTAAAGCAGTCACTACTGGATCATTTGCTGACCAGGAGGCATTTAAGGAGATCCCCCATAACTCCTCAGGAATTCTTTAACGTCGCAGACAGGACGACGCGGTCAGCAGATCCTCTCAAAACGTAGACTGCCTGTTGTACAGCCCACAACTCGGATTTTGGGCCTACCGTGCCACACCGAGCAGCCCGCCGGTCAGTACCGGTCCTTGGGAGGGTTCGTGTCCTCCGGGACAGTCGAGTCATCAGACACAGTCTTTAGCCCTACTCAGCCCGTGTGGGTTTGGTCAACAAGGCCTATCCTTCATACACGGAGTCCTATCACTTAGACAAAAGAGACTCAATGCAGAAAGAAGAGACAGACAGACTAAGACTCAGCAAGTACCATCGGGTGAGTGCACATCTATAGGGTAAGGGGATAGGCTGAGGGCTTGGCGAGATATTACCAACTCCAGCTTGGTCAAAGTCTTGGTCAACGGCGCCGGTCAACTCCTCGGTCAACACTTGGTCAACGCGGTAAGACCCAGGTCAACACCCCGGTCAACCCTCCGGTCAACGTCGGGTCAACTCTCCACCTCGGCTATGGCTGCCGGCACCTTCCTCTTTGCCACCCTTGTCTTCTTCTTCCCCTTCCTTCACCTTCTTCTTCCTTTCTTTCTTTTTTTTTTTTTTTTTTTTTTTTCACCCTCAGCTATGTCTGTCTTCCACCTCGATGTCTCCTCCTTCCTCCTCTACCTCTTCTCTCTCGTCCCCTCCGTGTCGGAGCTCCGCGGCTATGGCCGCTACTTCCTCCTCCGCCGGACTGCACAACCAATCTTGTATCGCTCAATTCTCTCTCTCTCTCTCTCCCTCTCTCTCTCTCTTCACTGTTGTTCTCTGTGTGCAGGTACACCTCCGCAGCGCAGCTATGGCGGACCTTCTTCTTCAACGGCGCTCTCGGCGCCCTTTGGTGCGTGGAGTAGCGGGTACCAGCTCTGATACCAGTGCAATCAGACTCGCATACTTCGTCACTTCACATGCATACAAACAGATGGTGAATCACTCTGGCGCATGGCGCCCAACTCAAAGCTTGAAGATATGGAAATCAAGACACAGTTCAGATATGAGCTCGCTTCAACAGGCTATGGTGCCTCAGCACCCACACATCGCAACTCTTGTCTCTGCGCACAACACCACTGTTCGCTTCACACTTCAACTCCGGATCACCCTGGATACCCCACGCACACACACTGTACACACACACATACACACCTAAC